TAAGTTCCAAGTAGAACAGTTTTTAATCACACGAAGGCATTTGGGTTCCAGATTGAAGCAATTCGGATAGTAGGAGGATTTTCTGAACTCCCATGAGCAATAAAAGCTTCTGCCACAAATGGCACATAACACCTGTCTTCAATGCACTCATATCCTTCTTCATAGGTTAAACTGAAAAGTTCCTCAGGTGAAACACAAACCAAGCCCAACACAACTTCATGATCAAAGATAACATCAACATATTCGCCCTCACACTCACATGTTGCATGTAATTCATATCGTACCCTGAATTAAACAATGAAAGGAACGTTTTGATTTTCCTTAAATGCAATGGACAACAGATTGTCAGCAAAACATAAAATTGAATCATACCTTGGAAAACCTGAACTTGATTTAAAGACTTCTGGACCGTACGTAAATCTTGTCATTTCCAACATACAACGATAGAGAGTCTAAAGGAAGGAATTTTTGTTATAATAGGTTAAAGATATGACTATATATTTGGGATATGTGTTATCCAACACAATTAGAACATACAATATTATACATATACCTGGTAGGCCTGTGAATGAAACATTATATCATCCCTTAGCTGCCTGAGTGTTCTTTTGGGAGGAAGAAGACCACGAAGATAACAAATAGAGCAGCGAGAAGTACTATTGATGCAAGTCATTGGCATCCGATCACCTATGAATCTAAACAACAAAAAGAATGTATGTTTTGTTTTTCTAACATCCAACAGAGTAGGTTTGTCAATATATAGACATAGAATTCAAATATAATAATACCTATTCATTATTTTTTTCATAATGGTGATTGTAAGAAGCAATGATCAGACGACTCCCAGGTGAAGATTGAAATACATATGCATCTCCAGTGCTATCTGTAACTGGCTTCCTTGTAACAGCAGTAATTGTGGTAATGAGAGGAAGCCGAGATTCAGATTCCCCTGCAAACTCCAAATACTTTGTAACCTCAGATCCAGAGTAGTACACTGTCGCCCTGTCCCCTCTATATAAAATAACAAAAGATCAATTAATCCCACATAAAAGTCTAACAAACAAAAGTCAACACAAGAATACGCAAGAAACCTGCAGTCTTCTATGATGAGCTCAAACCTAAAAACAGCATTACTTGAAACCTCTGGAATTGTTATATGAACAACGCAACCTGTAACATCTGCAATTAAATTCATAGTAAGCAAATAATCATGAACAATTTTTGTGAAAACAGCTTCTGAGGAAAATACCTCCATAATTCACAACTGTTTCTGCCTCTATTGGAACAGCTGAGAACGAAATTTTCAGAAAAGTATTGACAGGAAACTTGGGATAACTCGGATTGTCAGGCACGCAAAATATGATATGTTCACTCCTTAAGGCAAAGCGAACTCCAGCGGGAACAACACGCCTGCTTTCCCTCGCAGGAATAACATGAAAGCCATCCAGGACATGTAAATCGCCTACTTTCAACTTATGATGCATTTCTTGAATGTCATCTTCCTCAATACAGGCCTCTAGCATATGTTCCTGTTAAATGTGATTTAGTGCATTACCACAATCAAACATAAACAATAAATATTACATTATACAGACGAATGACAGACCTCTTTGTCAAGACACAGCACATGCATTGTTCTTCTATGCCCTTGAGAGTCATCACTATACTCAATACATACATTAAGAACTCGGATGATCATAATATCAGTATAAGCACCAACACGGAGGCCACGAAACACCATGCATGTGGAAATTGGGTCTGTAATAAACAAAAGACAAAGAAAAACCCCAAAACTTAACACTTCGGCAGTGTTCATTCATAAACCAATAAATAGAAACTTGAAACAGAAAGCAACAGAGTCGATACCTCGTGGAAGAGTTGGAAGTTTGAAATCACGAGGCATTATACAATGATGGCTGATATAGAAAGACAATAGAAGATCAGAAATTGGTTCAAGTGTAAAGAAACAGAGACAGAATGCAAAAGGAAAAACTATCGGCGATCATACCCCATGAGTATACAACTATCTCTGATCTGGAAGTTGCGAAGTACTGTAGCTTTTGGGAAAAGGAGTTCAGAGAACAGGGGAAGTTGAAAAGGCAGAATTAGAACTGAAATGAAAAGGCGGTGGAAGTTGGTCCCCTAAACGATTTCTTACTACCATTATAAAATCGTATATTGGAGATTCAATGGGCCATAAATTGTTCCCCCAATGGACCGAACCATTATAAAATGGGCTTCCAAAAAACTATAGAAATTTAATATAAGCATAAAGTCATTTCTTATTCGGGCTAAATATGAGAATACTGGGCCCAATTCATATATCTACTTACATCATAAAAGATGGCCCATTATTTATATCTATCTATCTATCTATCTTCTATCTATCTATCTTCTATCTATCTATCTATCTATTTATTTATAAATTTATTAAAAGGGCCACATCAGCCTTAGACTAAATCTACGCTTCCACGTCAACACACCTAGAAATACAGTAATTGTCGTTTTCCAATAGCGACTGTCTGTGAAACAGAATAACTCCCGATTTCCTATTCTAAAATTCAAACCCTCTAAAAAAATAACAACATTTCATAAAAAAAATTTGGTAACCGATTCCTCAATTTTCTCCTTCTTTACTTAAAAAATGTATACAATAAAAAGGGCAAAAAGTAAGAGCGTATGAGGTGAGAACGGGAACTGTGAGCAAATGATAATAGCAATTTGCATAGTTATATATAATTATCAATGTAAACATCAATCACATGTAATTAAAAAGTAAGAGCGAATGAGGTGAAGCAATTTGCATAGTTATATTTCCCGCTGGTATCCTTGCCCGCGCTTCGCGTCGGGATTGGAATTATACTTGAGTTTATCTAAAGGAAATAAAATAAATTGTATTTTATTGTTATAAAAAAGTGTATGACTCAGTTTCCATAACAATATCGTGAAGAAATGATTATACAATTTGCATATCCTCATCTGATGAGCATTATCATATCTAATTAGGTGTTCAAATAGTATATTAGAAGAATCGTATTTTGTAATTTTGGGTCTCCGGCTCTATTTCAAAATCAAATTTGTCAAAATTTATATTCGTTAGCCCAATATTTATATGGGCCTGGCAAATAAATGGAACGACATCCAATACGTCGTTCTGCGAACAAACATGTTTTGCATTCTCTTTTTCATTTTTGTGGATCAATCATTAGACCTGTAAAATTTTCGATGAAAAACATGGGAAGAACGCCAAGAATTGCCATTAAAATTCCAGAATTCAATGTGGGGCATAGTTTTGTAAGATTTTGACCCTATTTATGAGTTATGGGGATTCCATAAATATTCCATTCCAAAAAAAAGAGCAAGTTCGAAACAATTGGGGTTGAAAATACAGTATAAAACATATATTGGCCATTTCTCTGACTCGTGGACAAAGTCCCAGATGTGACTCGTGGACAAAGTCCTAGGGATAGCAAGATGGTTCCTCTGCCTCTCTCTATCCATCCCAAAAAAGAAAATCGACTGAAAGAGCACATGAGCAATGCGAGCAGGTTAAATGAATGGCCGAAAATATAAGAACTACTTGGTTTTTAACCTACCATTGTCCTTCTCAGTATCGTCCATTCCTTTCTCCCTTCAGCCTATATCTGAGGACTGAGGATGCACAGTCTCCCAAGAGCCCCTCAAAAACCGAGAAGGCAAAAAATTGAAAAACAAAAAATATATATATCTAGTGTCTAGTCTCCATAAGCAACCCTTCGTTCCTCTGCCAACCCCTAGTCCCCTATACAGTGTGAGGAATAAGGCAATTACGTGTCTGAATCAACAAACCTTCCTTCTCTCCTGTTCTCCACCGTGAAAGGAATAAAGCAAAGACTTGTCTCCATCAGCAACCTCCCTTCCTCTCATGATCTCTACAGTTTAGACAAAAGGCAAAATCCAGTTACAAAGAAACTCAAAGATACCCTGCGACCAACGCAAAGATCACCTTCACCAAATCAAACAATAAAAGAAACAAAACTAAAAGATGCCAACCAGATATCCCATCAATAACTTGAAGGGAACCGAGATTCCATGTCAGAAACCACTGAACAACCAGAGCAACAGCCAATGACAAACCGGTGAATAGTAAAATTGAGTCTAAACGAATAGTCAAAGCAGTCTAGATGAACAGTGGAAGGTGGTTTGAGAAGTTATACTTTTTGGTGGTTGTTGGAGGTTTCTGAATCTCCCACGCCTCACTTGTGCGTGGAAAGCACAGGCAGATGGCGAGCGACGCATCTAGTCAACACAGAGAACAATTACCTTGTGCGTGTCTAGATGAACAGTAACGTGTCTTACATAAACCCATCAAACAATCTCCAATGTCAAATCCCGCAACCCACCAAACAATACCAGACCAAAGCAGCCCAGTAGGGACAAAGTTAATCTATCAGATGATCATCTGCAAAAGGCAAAAACATAATCTGCCATGTAAGGGAAGGCTTCGCCAACAACAGAACTGCAAAGAATATAACAGGGGATTAAGAAGCGAACCTCGCCCAAATTCCAGCGACTCTTTTTGGAACTCCAAACCCCTGGTGTTGCCCACACCATCCGTAAGAACAGCAGATCAATCAACGCCCAACCATTTACTTCATCTTGCAAAATCTCATCTGAAAAATATCACAATAAACCCATGAAAAACAGAACAAAATCATGAACGGCAGAAAGATAACAAAACCAAGATTATAACCTGTGCACCGGGGCATTCTTTAAATCCCCTTTCTCTCTCTCTCTCAAATCTACAACCTGATCGTTTTGAGATCGCCATCTCCCAAACTGGATGTGAAAAACCATCGCCGATAGAAAAGTGAGAGAGAAAGATAGGGGGAAAAGTGAGTGAGAGAGAGAGAAAGGGGAAAGGCCATTGCAACGACATCTACAAAAACAGTACAAAGATAAAATTTTAGTAAACAAACAGTAGATATATAAACAAAGCAAATCCAACAAAAACAAACCCACTAACCTGTCAAATAACGATGGTTATCGGCACGCAAATTCAACTGAGAGAAAGCCTCAAACTCGTAAGCATCAAGTGGGAAACTTTCAGCAGGCAAAACACAGGGCTGAAAAGAAGCCAAAGGCGAAAGACCCAGAGCCAAATCAAAAGAACAGGCCCGATACTGATTTGGCGGATTGCTCAGGGCAAAAGTCTTTATGACGTATATCTTGCCAACTGATAGATTACGGCGAATCCCGGTAGCCATCGAAGTCGGTGAGACGCCTTGTATCAAAAAGATAAGTTCCGGCGCCACGAAAGATAAAAAAAATGAAAGAAGGAATGAACAGACGTGATAGTACTGCATGTCAGTTACCGGTCCAATGACGGAAGAGAACGTAAAAAATGGGAAACGACACTGCGATTAACAAAAAGATAAGGACAACGTAAAATCAAGGAACCGCCAATGAAACCATAAAAAACAACGAAGGATTCCAGGCGCCGAAGCGGCGGTTGTCAGATATCAGGTCACAAAGAGAACCGCTCCCCCCAAGCCCAAATGCAAATCGTCGTATATAAAATGGCGCGCCCATCATTGGCCGAAATCCAGGAAGACAAGAAACAAAGCCCACGTGCAAGAGAAGAAAGCAAAGCAATGCGTGTAATAATTATACGGGGCGGCCTCAGGGGAAACGATAGAAAGAAGCAGAAAACGCAGGGAAAATTAGCGTCCATTTGAGGGCAACACGGCACACAAAGGAACAATAGAAAACAAATAAAAAAACCGGCCCACCCACAGCTGAGCAGCCAATAAGAAAATGCGGCCGCAAAGGTGGACCAATCAGGAGAGGGTGAACAGTAATTTTGAGTCTAAATGAACAGTAAATTGTGTCTAGATGAACAGTAACGTGTCTTTGCAAATAACTTGTTCTAATATAGATAATAGCTGAGCGGTGATGATTAAAGATGTCATGTCCGAACTATGTATATGTTTATCGTTGCACATAATTTCTTAAGGAAAGCTAAGGACAATTTTGTAGTGAGAAATTTATAACTCTAATAGAATTTGTTGTTCGTTTTTTCCATTTCGAATATAATCGTTTCATGTAGGCTAAGGTCCTATTTGGATAATGAAGATGTAATGACTTTATCAAGTTTTAACAAAGCTAATCTATTATATTGGTATTCTTCGTGTATGTATGTACAAGATTGCTTGATGATGAATTGTTCTCTAATAAATTTTTAAACATTGTAATTACTAGTGTGAATATCATACATTTGAAGGGAAGAGCACTTCTACTATGCTATATAGTATTGGTGCTTTAATGTACAACTTAAAGTTGTACCATAACATTAAATGTATAAGTTTAGGTTGTACCATAAAACAATTTGCACCATTATGTTATGGTACAACTTTACAACTTGAAGTTGTACCATCACATAAAGGTACAAGTTCAAGTTGTACCATAAAAGAATTTGTACAAAAAGTATAGGTACAATCTGAAGTTGTACCATAACGTAAATGTACAATTTTAAGTTGTACCATAAAGGCAAAACCCTATAGCACCAATACTATATATCATTGTAAAATGTCTCTTGAAGGGAATGGTGTGATTTTGACATCATTCACGGGACACCAACGGGTAATTAGTATAAACTGCTACAAACCTTTGCCCTTAGTATAAAACGGTCACAAACCTTTAATTTGTAAGGATACAGTAAAGTTTGAAACTGTATGAAATGGTCACTTCTGTTTAATTTAAGATCGTTTTTGTATTAATTACAAAGGTTTGTTACCAAGTCCTTATACATTAAAGGTTTGTGACCGTTTTGAAGTCGGATTCGTAGCGTCAAGTATATGACACTAACCACTTGAACGACATATGAGATGTCAGGTTGTGTGTTCATCGATATACTTGCTTTGTCGAATTGAATGCCCTTTGCTTATCTTTCCATTTTAATACCGAGAAAGTAAGAAAGTAGACCGAGTTTTTTCAACCAAAAAACAACTTGTAACCCGTTTGTAAGGCGTTGAATTCCCTCTCTGACATCAATTGTTTTTCTACGAGTATTGTCATCCTTTGTTACGATCATATCATTCACATAAACTAACAAAGCCATCATACTTCGATTGGAGCGGAATTGTGATGGTGATTGATCGTTCAAACCTTTGGACATTGTACAAAACGGTCACAAAAAATTTAATTAATTTACAACGACACAATATCAAAATTTTGAACTTGTATGAAACGGTCACACTGTTTAATTTATGATCATTTTATTTTAAGTATAAAATTTTGACCATATTGTTACAAATTAAAATTAAGAGTTTGTCACCAACAGTAATCTCCTTCCATGTCTTATCTTAATTTCTTACGCCATGGAAATGAAGACTTTGGCTCGTTAAAATGGCCCCAAAAAAAAAACAAATGTAAATGAAGTAAAATAAAAATGGGCCAAAAGTAAGTAGAGCATCTTCAATAATTTCATCGTAGGTGGGCAGGGGGGGCCCAGACACACTTCTGAGCTCTGACAAGGTCGTTTATTGTGCCACCCACTACCTTCTTCCCGTTCCCTCATATGAAGAAGAGAAACCATGTGATCATACGTGTCGGTAGGGCACGTCATCCACGTGGCGGGCTAGAAAACAAAAGAGCCGTCAACGGGTCCGCTTGCAACGTTATTGGGCTTGAAGTTGTTGGGCAAATGGGCCTCTCTACTAGTCACTCTCTATTTATCTTTTTCCATGTAACATATAGATATAATATTTAATTCAGTTTTAGATGGAGTGGAATTTCGTTTAGTTCAGTTATAACCGGTAATCAATCGGTCGGTTATTGGTTAGCTAAATTGCCGTCTCTTATTGACAACCGACTGAAATAGAAATTTACGTTTCGGTTGTCACGATTTTTGGTTGACCGAACCATCTCCAAGACCAAAACCATATCGGCCATACTCCGAACACCGACCGAATTTTGGTTATCTCTGTTATCGATTAGTGGATAACCGGTCGGTTATCGATTTAACCGATCAGTTAACCAGTAACCGGTAACCGAACCTCCACCCCTAGTTTTAGGATTAAACCTCCAACTATCGATTGCAATTTGAACCACCCTGTCGGGTTTTACTTGACATGATCCGCGATGTTGTGAGTATTATCCGACCCGCAGTAGCGTGAGACGGGACATGAGTATCAATTTCTGACCCGCCCCGCTCTGTTTTTGGCCTGTTCTAGGTCAATTACTTAAGACATCCATTCATATATCTCCTATTTTGACATTCTGTCAGCTAGTTAGACTTGATCTTTCGACTAAATATACTCAATTACCCATTATATTATCACTATTATTCACTCATGAAGTCTTTTCCTCTTCGTTTTATCGTAAAAATTAAAATTTTACTTGTATTTTTTCAAATAACATATAAGGGTGGGTCGACCCAGCCCGTCCCTTACCCGCATGGGTATTACCCGCCCCGACCCGTAATAGCGTGGGACGGGGCATGGTATTGAGGTACCCGCCCTGCCCTGCCCCATTGCCATCACTACCTCCAACGTGATAGTATGATCCCATGATAGTAAATTATGAAACACGCAAGACCTAACAGATCTCAAATTCCAAATTTTGATGTTTCGATTTTCATCGGTGAAATAGAGTCTCAAGTCTTGATCAATAGCCCGATCGATCACATTCAAGATTCGTACTAAAACTACACTAAAAAGTAGAGCAAAAACAAGTAAAACACCAAACCTCTACATCGTGGTAACAATATGATTCTATAAGCCAAACAAATGAGGAATTCAACAAAAACATCACTCGTCTAATGGTGCCTTCAAAAACAGATCCCAGTCCAATCAATCATTTGTAAGACTTGAACCGGAAACTTGTAGATTACACACTTACATTATGCTAGGCTAAAAAGCTCGTTGCTAGGCAGTGAGTTCGGTTGAGGTGGCCGAGAATCGATAGATGTATTGACGGTCTGTCCTGTACATCATTTCCTCGGATTCGATCTAGCTAGCTAGCAGAGCAGCATGTATTATTGAAACTATTAGTTGGTGAGCAACCAACATGTGAGTACGTAGTAGAGAGCGGCACATTAATGCTTCATTGATTGCACATTTTTCTTTGGCCGCATTCATACACCAAACGGAAGGTTTGTTCCCGATCGCCAATTTAAGTTAACTCTACATTTTATGGCCCAATATTGACGACGCTTTTGGCATGCATTATTGATCATGCACCCCACAAAGAGCACTGTGCGGTAGTTGTTAGCACTTGATGTTGGTTGATGATTATATGAAGCCATTTAGGCATATGTTGTTACTTGATTTGAAGATAGATTATCTGTTACTATATATATATATATATATATTTTTTTTATTTCTTGTAATATTACAAACTAACTTTTGTTGTTCAGGTGATACCTTGAATTGATGGAAATCAACAAAATCATGTGTATCCAGCTAATGTGTATGTTTATACGCTTCAATATATTTTTATATTACCAATTTGTGCATAATACATATTATACATATACAATTATTTAGGCCACGGCAGAGGTGGAGAGGCACATGTATTTTGGTATCAAGTATCAACTACCAAGCATGTTTTATTTCGTTATTTAATTACTTATCTGGATAAGCACTAGTGCACTACTCCACCTAGAGAAGGGGGGGAAAAGAGCAACAAAAACGAGAAGAAAGGTTAAAGAAAACGACCTGAGACTGCCTTTTATATGCTGACCTTTCTCTTTTTAGTTTTTACTTTTCTTTGGGCGTATGTATTTTTCACTGTCTAGATTTTTTTTTTTACTTTTCACCTTTTAACATTCAACGGGGGAGAAGAAGAAATAGGAGAAAGCGACAGTAATTTTGATAATGGGTCGGGTCGGATTGGTTTTGCCAAACTCAAACTTATGGGTTTTGTTGATGCCAAGCTTCGAGGAGCCTGCTTCAATGTGTTTGAGGTCCGGTGAGCGCCAATCTTCCTGGCCAACATCCGCCACCAGCCTCCGAGATGGACACCTGCAAAACAAAAGGACCCGCCGGCGGTGTGTCGGCGGGGACCTTCTCCGAAGCTCAATGTCTGTATTGAGAGGAGAGTAACCGGGAGCGGCATATTGAGCCGACTCTTGAGAGAGATTTAGAAGTTCAACTCCAAAATGAACTGCCAAGAAAGCATAAATGAGCGTTCTATTTATAGGTGCCTCCTGCTTCTGGCGTAGATGGCATGTGAATAATAATAAAATAAAAATAATACATTTACACCCAACCAACCGAGTGCAATGGATGGTTGGCTACTTTAACTAATTAAGTATGATAGAAGAAAGGAAGTAAAATACTCACCTTGATGGAGAAACTCCTTCTTCTCCATGTATAGGTTGATGGGGAGTGAGTTTGGTTGTGGTAAAACAGAAAGTGAATTCCCTTAGTTCGTTTAAGCAATGGAAAAAAACAACAACATGGTCACTCATCTTCCACGTGCAAATGGAGAGGAAGGGTACAAGGGTTTGCTTGTGTGGGATTGATGACACCTCCACTAAGAGAGGTTAAATGTTGGAAGAAAGGACAAGCTTTACTTGCTTGGCTTCTCCGATGTGTCATTGAATGAGAAAGAAGGGTAGTGAGTGGCTAGAGGTAAACAATTAGCTAGCACACCACTTAAACACCTCATTCATGTAAATGGTAAATATATTGCATGCCATGTAGCTTTGTTTGTTGGAGGGAGTTGAGATGGTGGCACTGCCATGTATATCATTATAGCCCCTTGGAAAGATTATGTGAAGATAGAATTGTGGTGGATCATCTCTCAAATAAACAAATTATATTTTCTACATGAAAATGGAGAGGGTGATTGGTGGAGCTAGGAAAATAGAAGACAAGAGGAGCATCATTTATCTTTCTCCCCAAAAGCAACGTGGATGAAGCCAAAAGAAGGGTTGGCTTATGTTAATTTGCTTAATTGGAAGGGAGTAAATTTGACACTCACCATCACTCATAATATCCCTTTCCAAGTGTGGGTTAATGGATGAAGGAGTGCAATTGTGCTTACTTTGTGAGTGAAAATGTTTTTACAAGTAAAAACAATGTCCATACCCTTCTACCATGTAGAAATGAACGGAATTTTTCAGATGAATGTATGTATTGTGAATGACGTGTTTACTGAGATCCATAAAACATTCATGGTAAAATGACGTATTTTGATGTCGGTTGAATACTGGGTCCATCAATTGCCCCCTTATCAATAGAAAAATTAAGGTTGAAACCAAAGTTTTCTATTGGTAACACATCTCTAAGTGAGTGGTTTAAATTATGGCATGCATAGCCGACACAAATAGCGCGAGCAATTATTGGAGAGTCGTGCCAGTTATGGTTGATGCGATGCACCATCGTGGCGAGCGATCATGGAAAGCCGTGTCAAATATGACAGGCAGGCCGCACCAATTGTGGTGGGCACCATGGAGAATCGTGCCAATAATGGTAGGCGATCCAAACCAACTGTTGCAGGCGACCAGTGCCAATCGTTGCGGCCTTATTGTGTGTATTTAGTGTTGTCCGTGTATGAGTGATAAGGACAATAGTTTGGGTTATGCAGCATCATAGGAGAATTTTGATATCAAGTATAAATGAGAATTTAGGAGGGATTAACAAATAAAAAACTTTCTCATACTTGGATTTTCCTTGATGGGAGCATGAGAAGGGAAGAGGTTGCCCTATCAGATTGGTGATGATGATGCAAAAGTTGTCCCGTCATGATTCGGAAGAGATGGGAGGCAGAGTGGTGTGGTGAAAAAGTGGATATTTTTTCACAATAGCAATTCGCGGGGAATTGAACCCTTGACCTCATTGATGGAGGTGAGCCTACTTAGAAAGTGGACTACCTGGGCTTCTCCGCTAAATTGTAGGTCTTATGAGAGGCAGACCAAAATCAGTGCCCCCACGACCTCGTTGTGAATTGCACGACATCAGTTTTCTCCACCATCTCTCCGAGCGGGTTTGACGTTGACGTTGACAATTTGTAATTTTTTCACCGGGCCCCACATTAAGCGCAAATTGTTGATGGAACTTTACATCGAGCCTCGCTATAGGTGCCAATTGTTGATGTCAGGGCGCCATTCCATGGGATGACTCGAGGATCCTATGATTTGGCGGCAAATCGATGGAGAAACTAGTGGGGTTGAGGGCCCGCAGTTCCGGACCAAAGATTGACACAAATCAATCTTGGTCGAGAGATCCTCGATTCTTGGAGATAGCAAATTGATTGATGTTTGGAGTTGTATCTTGACGAATACCTTCTTCAGGTTGCATATCCTGCATGCCCATCACATTGGGATCCTCGATTCTTGAAGATAGCAACTTGATTGATGTTTGGAGTTGCATCTTGACGAATCCCATCTTCAGTTTGCATATCCTGCATATCCATCTCGTTGGGATCCTCGATTCTTGGAGATAGCAACTTGATTGATGTTTAGAGTTGCATCTTGACGAATCCCGGCTTCGGCTTCCAGATGTTGTGTGTCCACCTCGTTTTGCTGGATTGACGGGTTGTTGGTATTAATCTCACCGGGCCCCACGGTGGGCGCCAATTGTTGATGCCAAGCTCCGAGGAGCCTGCTTCAATGTGTTTGAGGTCCGGTGAGCGCCGATCTTCCTGGCCAACATCCGCCACCAGCCTCCGAGATGGACACCTGCAAAACAAAAGGACCCGCCGGCGGTGTGTCGGCGGGGACCTTCTCTGAAGCTCAATGTCTGTATTGAGAGGAGAGTAACCGGGAGCGGCATATTGAGCCGACTCTTGAGAGAGATTTAGAAGTTCAACTCCAAAATGAACTGCCAAGAAAGCATAAATGAGCGTTCTATTTATAGGTGCCTCCTGCTTCTGGCGTAGATGGCATGTGAATAATAATAAAATAAAAATAATACATTTACACCCAACCAACCGAGTGCAATGGATGGTTGGCTACTTTAACTAATTAAGTATGATAGAAGAAAGGAAGTAAAATACTCACCTTGATGGAGAAACTCCTTCTTCTCCATGTATAGGTTGATGGGGAGTGAGTTTGGTTGTGGTAAAACAGAAAGTGAATTCCCTTAGTTCGTTTAAGCAATGGAAAAAAACAACAACATGGTCACTCATCTTCCACGTGCAAATGGAGAGGAAGGGTACAAGGGTTTGCTTGTGTGGGATTGATGACACCTCCACTAAAAGAGGTTAAATGTTGGAAGAAAGGACAAGCTTTACTTGCTTGGAGTTAAATGTTGGAAGAAAGGACAAGCTTTACTTGCTTGGCTTCTCCGATGTGTCATTGAATGAGAAAGAAGGGTAGTGAGTGGCTAGAGGTAAACAATTAGCTAGCACACCACTTAAACACCTCATTCATGTAAATGGTAAATATATTGCATGCCATGTAGCTTTGTTTGTTGGAGGGAGTTGAGATGGTGGCACTGCCATGTCTATCATTATAGCCCCTTGGAAAGATTATGTGAAGATAGAATTGTGGTGGATCATCTCTCAAATAAACAAATTATATTTTCTACATGAAAATGGAGAGGGTGATTGGTGGAGCTAGGAAAATAGAAGACAAGAGGAGCATCATTTATCTTTCTCCCCAAAAGCAACGTGGATGAAGCCAAAAGAAGGGTTGGCTTATGTTAATTTGCTTAATTGGAAGGGAGTAAATTTGACACTCACCATCACTCATAATATCCCTTTCCAAGTGTGGGTTAATGGATGAAGGAGTGCAATTGTGCTTACTTTGTGAGTGAAAATGTTTTTACAAGTAAAAACAATGTCCATACCCTTCTACCATGTAGAAATGAACGGAATTTTTCATATGAATGTATGTATTGTGAATGACGTGTTTACTGAGATCCATAAAACATTCATGATAAAATGACGTATTTTGATGTCGGTTGAAAAATTAAAGTCAAATATCAATATCTCAATACAAATTATCTATATATAAAACACCATTCTAGAAAATTCAAGCAAATCACAAATTAATTATACAAATTGTTCAACACCAATCTAGAAAACTCAATAAAATTGAAGCAAATCACAAATTATCCATAAATAACATGATTAATTGAAAGCTTCTTCCTTTCAATTAAGTTTTTCACTTTCCACTCAATAAGATCAACTTCATTCTACACAACTAGACATGTCTCCACAAACATAAATAAGATTAATTGTTTAGAATATTAAATATGCCGAGAAAATTAATTATATGGGTGTGGGCGGATATCCATGGGCTGGATTTACCTAAATCCAACCCAGTGAATAGTGAACGAGTTTAAACCCAACCCGACCCAAACCCATCGACACAGATTTTACCCGTGCTGACCGGATTGGGTCGGGTGTATACCCGTGGGTTCGGGTTTTGTTGTCATGCCTAAGCAAGAGCTGCAACGGTCCTCCTATAAAAAAAAAAAAAAAAAAGAGAAGGCAACGGTCCAACGTCCAACGGACAGTGAAAACGGGGTTGGCGGAATCCAAACGCTGGAATTCACCGCATTTAAACCCGCGGTGTGAGGTCCGTGGCCAACTCTCTCTCTCTCTCTCTTGTTGCTACAATTTCCAACAACACTCACTACCGATATAGGCTTTGGCTGCATTGTCTGAGAATCTGAGTTAGACAGTACTGCTCCTTCCTACCTAGCTTACTCGAGCGGAGAGAGAAAGACGGAGAGAAGAGCAGCCGCCGCCGCCTTCATCGCCACCGGATAAGAAGCAGGTGGCGGAGCAATGGGGAGATCCAATTCCTGCTTCAAGATTATCACATGCGGAAGCGATTCCGCAGCTGATAAGGATGACATTGACATCCAAGCTCCCGAGGTACCTGATTTCTCGAGCCTCATTGTTTTCTCTTTTTTTTTTTTCTTCGTCGATTGAGCTTGCAATCTCTTCTTAAAGGATACTCTCTGTCGATCGATGGTGTACTTCGTTTGATCCGTTTTGAGTTTTTTGTGACTTCGAGCTCTTACTTGAAGCTTCCGAGTAAGAGTAATCCGGGAAGTGGAAATCGAACTGGTGGAAATTATTTCCCGGTTAGCAACGGAGATCTGAGGCCGTGGAGCTAGATTTACGTGCCTATGCAGATAAACTGTTGGTGAATCTTTTCGTTCACTGGATTTTGGAGTAGGATCTTCCGTTTATTCTATCAGCGTTTACTGGATTTTGGAGTAGGATCTTCGGTTTATTCTATCAGGGGAAGTGTTTGAGGCCTTGGTGATAGTTTCTACTTTCGGGTGGTTTCGAGTTTTGGATTAAAGCTGTCCTGCCAAAGTTGATATGGACGGATCTTAATTGTGACGAATCAATTTTTCAAATATTCGTTTGGGTAGGATGATTTAGGGGTTGTTTTCTCCTTTTTGTCCATTTGGATGCAGCTGAGGCGATTAGAGATAATTTGTCACTATGCTAGATAGTACCGTTGTATGCTTGTTGTTCTAGTGTGTCTATATCTGGGAATCTTGCTTCAACTGTTACTATCCAAGATGTATGGAAGATCGATGTTGTTTAGGGGGAATTTGTTGTTGTCTCCCATGATTCGATAATAGGGAAACTGTGGGCGTGTTTCCCCCCTTCTGTATAGAAACTGAACGGTGTGGTGTGCTTGAACTACTAGTCAAGGGGGCTGGAGACTTGCTGGTGGTTTGCTTTCAGTTGCCCTCGTGTTATCACGCGATGGCAAAAGAAAGCTGTGAACTTTTGTTTGGCTTTGCGATGAATGAACTGATTGATAATAAGCATGTACTTCCTTTACAATTAGGTTGTCCATTATGTTAACAAATTAGTTGGCTATATGCATTCAGTGCCACGGCTGCCAATATTAGTGACCTTTCGACGAGGGAGGTATAGTGATTTAACTATTTCAAACTTCGTTTACAGAACAAAGGTTCAAGTGACAAGCGCGGGTGGAGTTTCCGGAAAAGATCAGACCGTCATAGAGTTCTAAGCAATAATGTAACATCAGAACCCCCCTCTACAGCAAACAAGGAAAGCATAGAACCTGCCAGTCTTAGCTATCGACAACAGGATGCTCCTTCAGTTCCTGAGAAAATTTCGGTTGCAGAATGCATCGATGAGAAGCCAGCATTGCCAGTCCCGGTGGAAGAGAAAACATCAAAGACCATTACACTCGACCAAGATGAAAAGGAAGCTGATACTCATGTGGAAGACTCGGTTGTTATTATCCTACAGTCTGCGGTCAGAGCTTTTATGGTAAATGTCATTTAAAATTTTCAAGATATGTTCCTCTGATGCTTATTGCTGACCTTATTTTAACATCATTAAGCTTTCTGAAATTGGTGCCACAGGCTAAAAAAGAATTTGTCAGGCTTAAGAGTGTGGTGAAGTTACAAGCTGTTGTGCGTGGCCACCTGGTCAGACAACGTGCTGTGGGAACCCTACGCTGTGTTCAGGCCATTACTAAAATGCAAGTACTTGTGCGTGCCCGTCATGCTCGTAATCGAGAGTCGAACATTGACAATGGGAAAGCTGGGAAAATTGCTTCCTCAAAATCCTCGGTAAACCCATCTACTCTTATTTATTGTTTTACTATCTTGAAGTGATATATCCTAGTCACTACAGCCTGACCAAACGAATGAAGCACAAACTAAGATGGACAGGGGTCGCACATGGTTTGCATTCTATGGAATCTGTAGTGTATATTCAAAATCCTAGTTTATGTTAACTAACCTTGAAGGAATTGAATGCTGTTGACAAACATTGGATTGTAGTTACCATCTTTCTATTTATGATTTGGAGCAATTTTTCATGTACAGAACAAAATATCTTTTTTGTTTTAGAACACAATCACAAACTATTGTGCACGGGATGCCAGCATAGTTCTTGAACAATTTCCAACAATCTTACCATAGTTCTCTTTTTGTCTCAGAAAAAGGAACTCTCCATATCTAAACCAACGATAACTTATACTTCACTCGAGAAGTTGCTGAGCAACAGATTTGCTCGCCAGGTATCCTGATGAATCTTTTCTGCTTTCCATGATGCTATTTGCCTTTTGGATATGCTCACTCTACACTCACTGTGAATGCTCTAATCCTCTTCTTTCATATATATTTGCAGCTAATTGGTTCAACACCAAAGTCAAGGCCTATCAACATCAAGTGTGATCCTCTAAGACCTAATTCCTCTTGGGTCTGGTTAGAGAGATGGATGTCTGCTTCATCCGTTGAGCCCACACCAAAATCGGAGCCAACTCCAAAACCAAAGTCCTTCCCAGAAAAGGTTGAAGAAGAGAAGCAAGAGGAGCATGCTGTGGTATCTGAGAGTTCCCTTGTGGTTGAAGATTCGAGATCCCACATTGAGGAAGCTGTTTCTTCGTTCGAAAATGAAGAAAATCTCATTGCATATGATGCAAATGATCCCAAGTTGGAGGCATGCCAAGCATCAACCCATCCCGCAGGAGATAACTCAGAGCAGCCTCAAGGTTCCGTGGATATTACTTATGATGATGTCAAGGAGGCATCAATTGACTCGAGCTCTCGTCAAAGTCAAACATTGCAGTCCGATGTACAAGTTCAACCAACTCAAGAATTTGAGCAACCTGAACCCCCAAAACGATCTTCTATGAAAAGACTTGCCTCAGATGAGTTAGAGACTGAAGGAAATAAATTTGTTTATGGATCGAGGAAGGTAAGCAACCCTGCATTTGTTGCTGCACAGTCAAAATTTGAGCATGGGCTGGGTCCAGCTACCGATTCAAACAAAAGACATAGCCGAGTGCTACAAGATGCAGGACATGAACTTAAACCAGAGAAAGCTTCATCTGAAGAGATTCTTTCCGTGACTAAGGAGCCTCGTACGGCTGAACATTCAGCCACCCATTTGTCAACCGTGCAATATGGAGATTCTGAATGTGGTACCGAGCTCTCTGTCACCTCGACTCTTGACTCACCTGACATATCTGAAGTTGGAGCAGCAGAACTCGAGCACAGGCAAGAAGGGAAAACTTCAGTGGAGGAAACCCACAGCTCTAGTGTGATTAAGAATGCAGGTGAAGAATTCAAGGATGCATCGGAAGATCCCTTGCCCAGTCCTTCTAATCCTGTTGTCACTCAGTCTGAAGAACTAGATGGTGTGAAGAGTGAAGCTATCATCAACTCGGTCCACTCACCCGAGGTAGAAGTCGAACGAGAACAAGAAGAAGCTGAGAGACTTCCGGAAGCTGCCTCTCCCACCAAAAGCCAAATTACCATCCAGGGGGAGGCTCAAGGAACGCCTGCAAGTCAAGTGTCGGTAACTAAAAGCGAGAAACGTGACAGAAGAGCATCTTCAACCCAGAAAAGGAAGTCATTATCTGCTGGTAACAAAAAGTCTGCACCATCCCCACAAAGTGAGTCCAATAGTGGGAAGCGGAGAAGCTCATTTGGCTCGCCTAGACGAGATGACACTACCACCACCAACGACCAAGAGCCACGGCCCAGTAATAGCAGCAGCAGCTCCGTCCCACGGTTCATGCAGGTTACGGAGTCCGCAAGAGCCAAACTTCAGGCTAATAATAGCTCTCCAAGATCGAGCCCAGATGTGAATGACCGAGAGTACATCAAGAAGCGTCATTCTTTGCCTGGAGCAAATGGGAGACATGGTTCTCCACGCATCCAGCGGACTAGTTCTCAAAGTCAACCGGCGGCAAAGAATGGTATGTTCTTCTTCAAACCTCATGGCTCCTATCAGCATGTGAGTCTGTATGGTATGAACTCTTAACGCTTGGATTGCTTGTCATGTTCCAGAGAAGAAGTGGCAGAGGTGAAGAAATGTGATGAAGGCAAGGGTTGTTCAGGTAAATTCTCTTCCTTTTTCGGTTGCTTGATGGCGGCGAGACGATTATGTGATATGCGTAGAGAGAAGCGCGAGAGTTTGGAGGAATGGATAGGTGGGGAACCTGGGAAAGCAAGAATGGAGTTTGTGTTTGTATATTTGCTGGGCATGGAAAATTTTATTAACGCACATATTTACCAGAGGAGTATTCCACAGTCGACAATGTTACTTTCATACAGAGTGTTCTGATTGTTTCTTTGTTGCTGTTGTTTGTTCGAATTTCTTTTTGTGTGATAATTGCATGTTCACTACTGTGTGGCTGTGTTTGGTTTAATTTCCTTGGGCTTGATAGTTGATTGTGTTTCTCGTTGTCTTGTTGTAAAGCGGATTTTGTTACTGTGTAATAAACTTTCTTAACTTCTACCGCTCTGGCCAACTCTTCTTCTCACCTCCTGCTTTAGGGAGGTATTGTAGATTGATCTCGCATTTCTTCATATGAGAGATTCTCATCCAAAATCCATCACCCAATTCCTACTTCGTAAGAACCATTGGACAAAGTGTTCTCTTTTTCAATAGGTCACTCGTATTAAAAGGATATTAGGATCCACATATAGAGAGTAAGTGGTCAAGCTATTTGGTACATCGTAACTAAGAAACAGAGTCAAATCTCTTGACGACAATATAGAGTATAGTGAGCTGCTAAGTGGGCTATCCTATTCTATTACGATGATGATCGAGGTGAACATGAACTTTTGTAATGTCTAATAAAACCCGAATTTCATTTAGGATAGCTCATAGCTCCAACTCTCGACATCCTAAACCCGCCTTTCCAACCATTTTATCAATTGCAACCTTAACATTCCCACAACAGCAAATACAGATCAAGCTTTTTTTAGGTATGATCAATTATGTTATTTTGTAGAAGTTTTGGTTAGGGTAATTCACTAATTTAGTAATTTGGAAGGAACCTTGTGGAAGTGATAGGTTTCAATCATCGGGCCCAAAATGACAGCGGGCCGAGAGCCCATTGGGGTTCTTCTTCCCTCGTGAGATTACTACAATTTTCGGTCGAACTACAGTAGACACGGCTCCGTCAATCTCTCTCATCAAAAGAAGTTCAGCTGGGATTTCTCTCTCCGGCTCCGGCGTTCGTCAGTGTCAGCCAAAATCGGCGGCGAGCTAGAAAGGGAAATCAGGGGAATTAAGGGAAGCTAAGCTGAAACGATGTTGAAGTTTCTATCGAAGGTGAGGATAGAGTTCAACGCATTGGACCCGCGCCTGGCATCTTGTATGGAGTTCTTGGCGCAGTGCAATGCTCGCAAGGCCAAAGAATCGAACCCGGCCTGCCAGGTCCAGGTCAAGCGCCGCACCGACGACCACCCGCCGCAGATCACCGTCACTTTCGTCAACGGCGTCGAGGAGGTCTTCGACGGCACCCAGACTACTGCGCAGACGATACGGAACATGATTCTGGAGAAAGGCCAGTACCTCGAGACGGAGCAAATGTTTCGGGAAGCCGGGGAGAAATGGCCGGTTGTCATCCCTGATGAAGAGCTCAGTATGCATGCTCCGGGAACCAAGGTTTGTTTACCCTTTCTCTTCTTCCATCTCAATGTCGCCTCCGACCTTTGGCTTGTGTTCTGGCGCCGTGTCATGCCTGATCGAATGGTGTTTATTGTGGGTTTGGAATCTCTTAGATTCAAGGCTGCTTATTTCTGCTTTGTTTCCTCTGAATTTTGGCATCCTCTTTGTTTCCTCGTTGGGGCATTTCATCAAACAGGTGGTGAGCTTAAAAGTTCATCCTTTTGCTAAGCGTACTGTGTGTTGGTAGACTCACTGGTTGGATTAGCATGATTATCATGTCTGCCTGGTTTATACATTTGCGATATGTAGGTAGAACATCAATCTATATCTCCTCGACCGTCACTCTCCTAATCTCCACCTACATTCTTGTGAGATTTATTCTGCAATGTAGCTGGTCTTTAAGCTCATCAGATCTACTTTCTTCCGTGTCTGAATGTCTCAAATGCTAGAATTCAGCTCCTTAAACCAAGCCTTTCGTGTCTGGTTATCCTTCGATTTACGACTTGAGAAGTAGTTCTTTGCCTTCACTCGTATATGATTGTTCTATGAACGGAGTATTCGTATGACTCCAGAAGTAAACTGTAATGGCTACCATTTGAATTTGAATGTTCATACATTTATCAGTGGCTGTGCCCTTCTATCTGTCTATTGTCATCTGCATTGTTTCCAGTTCAAGCAACAAAACCCGGTTACGGTCCAATTCTTTTATCTGTTAATCCTAATCTTTCACCTTTTCACCCAGCCGAGGAAAGCAGAAGACAAGAAGTGAAACCATCCCTTTTCCAGCCAGCATTTTTCATCAAAGTTATCAGCAGGAGTCAACTAATCTCTCCATGGGTTCGATAAGATCATGGATTAAATTTTGCTGCTGTGGATGCTTATGCTTGTGATTGGATGATCGTCTATGAAAGATTAGCATACTTTTTTCAGTTCACTCATCTGTAGGAAGTTGCTGATGTTGTTATTACTGTTTATCAAGGTTCTTCATGCATTATCCGACTCGAAACTATGTGGTCCTTTCAATAAAAAGCTGTTCTTGTGCATTGAGTAGCTATCTTAATTTAGAAGCTGCAGTCCCAAAAATGGATAGAATGAATTGCTCTGTTGATGAGAGATCGAGGCTTTATTTCTTATTATTACAGTCGAGTGAGGCTAACTGGCTAAGTCGGGAACACTATGTAAGTTTGAGGACAAACTTCTAATCACACCATTATGTACAACCAAACAACTCATAAGCGGAACAACATGATCTCTTGGCACCATTCTGTATAAACAAACACAAAATCTGGACAAGATGCATCTTCCTCACTTGCTGCTCTAACCCTTCATCTATCATGAAAGGTAACGACGGACAATTTTCAGCGGTCTTCTCGTCGAACACTGTTTGGGTCACCCATCATATCCATCATCATCTTCTCCGGCGAATCTTCCCAGTTTGAGAAAGTCTTCAGATCGACCTGGAAAACAAAAGTAAAGAAATATGGGGTTTGTGCAAGTTCAAGATAGTTGTCTTTAAACTATGAGCTTAAATTGAAGCTGATCATAGGGCATCTGTCATCGCTGCTCGGTGAAAAGCACCTCCTTGCTTGTAGGAAGTTTGAACAGACCTTGCTGCCTCCCCACCAAGTCCCCAGACCTCCACTTCTGAAATCAATGCCTCAACTGGGAGAAAACCCTGATACATGGAAAACACAAGTTAATCATCCCCTGACAACATCCATTTGGTTTCGATGAGAGCTGTATTTCCCACCCATGAGTACTTGCCTGATTGGGGAAGAAGGGACCATGTTGGTAAGTATTGTCAACTGCGTGGTGACGAACAGTAACCTTAGCAAAGTCTTCGTCGATAAATAGCCTTTCGTTCCCCGTCGATCCACCAAACCCGATTCCAACAGGCTTCGGGTGTGGATCATATCCCCTAGCAGGATGCAGGTGGCTGTAAACAAAGTTCTTCTCCTTTCCTGTCAAACAGATCCAGCACAAAAGCTTTCAGAACCATTCATCCCAAGAAAGATCAATGGTAAAGGAATCAGAAGAAGGGTTCAAAGTTTCAGATTACCAGAAGGTGGGAATACATGGAAAACAGGACACATAGCGTATAAGGTTGCAGAGGTTCCATAAAGATTCTCGTTGTTCTCCAACCCTAGCTGTGTAAGAGCACCTATAGTCCACTTCTTTGCAGTTGAGTTATCGTTTTGAGTATCTCCAGAGGTAGCAGACACCACGATAAGTCGATAAGTAATGGACCATGATAACCTTCAACGTTAGACCAGAATCTATTCAATCCCCTGCCATGAACAGATGACCTACATGGTAGAATGAATGGAGGTCAATCTAGAATTCCTTTCTAAACTTAACAATGGAATTTCAGTTTGAAAATGGTCTGCGTACATAAATTTATCACTAGAAGTGTAGGAAAACAAACCGATAGACAACGTGTTCAACTGATTGATCACCATCACTAGCGAAGCATGGTTTCAGAATTTCTACACCAATTGCACCCTTGAGCGAGAGAGAGAAATTCCCCATGCACGGCCACATGTCAAGAGATAAGTACCACGCCCACTCGATGATACAGACCCTCCAGAGGTCGAGGTATCTGGTGCAGACTCATCCTGCCAGTTCATCAAGAAAATCGTGATTCAGGGCCCTGAACATTACAAGAGGAAAACACAAAACATCAAAAACATTACTCTCTCACCCCTGAAGAGCAATAATTCTGCAACCTCAAGTTGATGAACTGAGTCAAGCAATCTGTTATACTTGGAGCAGTCGCCAATGCCCAAGCAAGGAACTTCCCAGCAGGAAGCTGAACTTCTAAACCAGCTAAATCACAGTCCCAGAAGTCTACTCCATCAAGACCATCACAACACGAAATGACAGCAGACAACGCCATATGACTGACATCCGGAAGGAATAGTGTCCCTCTCTCTTCCCCTTTGGAAGTTTTCGAGTTCCACAGCAGCATCGTCCAGGACATCCATAGCAGAATGAGCAAATCAGCCGGTGAGAGATAAACTGTTGGGACTTTTTGGGGCGAGGGTATACGTACGATAGCCCGAGACTGGGTGACTAGGATTATGATAGAGTCGTCAACTACGTTCACTTTCCGTAAAGAATATTTCCACCCTCAACAAACCTAGGGTTACAGGAAATTTCTTCGTAGGATAAAACTATCATCACTTTAGAATCTAGGCTTAATAAACTAAAGCATACTTAAAAGTTTAATAGGAAGAAGCACTATTGGCATCGGTAACCAGTGTCCCTTGTCCGTTTCCAGAAGCTTGGTTCCACGTTGGGACGCGAAACAGAGTTGAGCCTCTAGTCCAGATTCATCAATCGCCTCTTCTCCCGCGGCTATAATCAGGCCGACCTTTGAGCAACGCGCTGTCAACTCCCCTGGCATGAACCTCGCCCTTCCGGACAGCCTAAGCCTCTGGACAGATGCTGCCAATCAATTGGCCAACAGCGACTTTCCTACTCCGTCTCTTGTTGAATCCCCTGTCATCAATGACTGGATCTATGATCTGCAGCTCGACACTGCCGACTCTTGGTTCAGTTATGCCGCCACTATGATGAACAAGTACTACCAATACTGGCACGGCTCGATCCCCCTCTCCGAGTGCCCTGCCGACGGCTCTGCCGCCGGATCCATCAGATGCACTGCTACTAGAGGATCCATCAGATGCCAAGTCCTCAATCGCTCGAGAGTACCACAGCTTTGTCAGCCTAGGACACCAAAATCTATACTTCTTCCTATTAAACTTCTAAGTATGCTTTAGTTTCTTAAGTCTAGATTCTAAAGTGATGATAATTTTATCCTATGAAGAAATTTCCTATAACCCTAGGCTTGTTGAGGGTGGAATTATTCTTTACGGAAAGTGAACGTAGTTCACGACTCTATCATAATCCTAGTCACCCGATCTCAAACTGTCGTACGCATACCCTCGCACCAAAAATTCCCAACATAAACCAATTATCTTATAACCACCATCATCCACCGACTCTAACTCCAGTTTCGAAGGAGACCCAGATTTCGCCAGTGCCGCAGCAAACAGTTCCATCAGACCGTTGAGTGACATCGAAGCGATCATCCTTCCACAGCATTTCACGTAGCCTTTCACAAACTCAATCCAGGTTATTCCTTCCTAAAATTCTTCCACTAAGGACTCCCCCGGATGATTCAAAAATCCAATAACAGAATTTGGATTGGGCTCTTTTGTTGATTCGAAGACTGGGGTTTCGTAACTAACACTGAACTTAAAAAGCTCAATCAGTAAGATAATCCAGCTAGACTAGTGACCGTGAACTTATGGGAAATTCATTCACGAGGGAGAATTTCGATCCTTCAGCGTTGGATTAGGACTTTTTACCTGGAGAGATTCAAGAGGAATTTTGCTGGTTTGGGGATCGGCAAGCTTCGAGAAGGAGTACTGGAGCATTGGAAGCGCTCCAATGGAAGCTGCGGCCAGCGAGGCTTTCCGCTTCTCGCTGCTCGCTGGAACCCGCCTGCTGTGTCGACGAAGAACATCCCATTTTCTTCCCGCAGCCGCAGGAAAGGATTCAGAATCGGATCAAAAATCAAAACTCCCCTTGTAAAGCTTCCCGTTTGTTTCTCCAGAAAATACCAGTGAGAAAAAATATTGATTTTTTTTTCCTCCTGATTCCCTAACCGACATGGTTGTCACGCCGGCCCGCGTACCACCGGTTGTACCTGGTTCAATCGGTACCGGTCATAAAATCGGCATGACACCACCGGTATGACCGGCATGATCGATATACGAATCTCTAAGTAAAATGATTTTATTTTAGTGAATTTAATTGATAAAAGTTATTTTATTATTTATTTTATGAGTATAAAAGTTAAATATTGATGTTATTTGTTGGATTCAGGTATAAATGTGTAAGTATTAACGTTAAATGTCATGTTTAAATATGAGTATTTATAATTTTATTTGTAATATTGACCGGCATGAACCGGCACAAACCGGTATGTGCCACCGGTTGAACCATTCCACTAGCTAAACCGACACACTGGCATAAACCGGTTTGACAACCTTGCTAACCGACATAAACCGCCGCTTTTTACCGGGCCAGCCCGTTGTATACCTGACGAGCCGGGTGTGGACTTTGCCCGGTTTTATATCCGGGTCCTGGTTTCCGCTCCACGTAAACGAGAAGGTAGATAAAAGGAAAATCAAAGAAATCGGGCCCTAAACTTTTTCTCCCTTTTCAGAACTTCCGGCGATCTCTAGGGTTTCTATCGACAGCGGCAGAAGAAGAGAGCAATGGCGGTACCAGGTCCTTACACAGGCGGAAGCACCCTCGCTCTGGTAAGTGCATTTTTCCTTCCTTCCTAATCAGTGTAGATTCTCCCGAGCTTGCCTGATTGTCTCGAGGGCCGAACAGTAGGGTTGCATCGAATTCTTGATGGATTTCTTACGACTGCGGATTGAATTGGTGGTGATTTAGGTGGCTCGTGCATCGGCGTTCAGTTTCGGACTAGTGTACGGAGGTTTGAAGCTCAAATATCTTACGGTAATTGCTAGTTCCTTCCCTTAACTCCCAGCTCAGTTGCTGTTGCCTTGAATTTGGGGGAAATTTCTTCGATTCCAGCAAAATCCCTGGAATCTATGCTTGATTTGGAGCTGGGTTCATGAAGTGTTTTATACTTTGATCGAATGCTTTAACAAGGTGATGGGAAGTTTCAGAGGGTAATATTCTATGGCTTGACGGAGTGAGCATTCATCTTTCATTATAGAATGGGTTTCAGGCAAATCTTATTGTAATGGACTTCTAGTGCAGTGAGGGCGTGCATCTTGCATAAAGAGCTTGATAGGGCATGTAATGCAGTCAGCATAGCCTTAAGTAGGTTTATGTAAATCCATGTCATATGAACCAGAAGATGTGCAAACCCGAACCCATCTCTGCACTTCTTCCTGCATCAGGGGGAGGAAATCACAGGCAATGCTATAACTAATGCTAGTTGTTCCATGGTACTTTCCTCATAAATCAGGAGCTTCAGAAGGGCATCATTCAGGTCTTAAGTAGTTTGATGTGAATGTATGACATGGGAAAACCAGACGATTTGTGAACCCGCTTTATGCAATTCTTCCTTTATTTGTTGGTGAACGTATGATTACGCGACACACCATCATTGATTCATTGTCTTATTATATATTTAAACTTGTTCTGTTGATTGAACATCAATTCTTAATCCTTTACCAGATGACGAAGAAGACCCCAGTTGCAGCCAAGGGAGGACACAAATGATCATATGTGCTTGCTGTTGGATGATTGATGCGGGATGAACTGCAAGGAATCCTTGTTTTTTGTTAGCTGAATAAAAATATTTGGTAGCACATTGTGGGACATTTGTTTTGAATGAGAGACTCATGAACTTTTCAGGATCCCATTGATTACCATCTCCAATTATAGATTGACAATGCTTCTGATCTTTTCACTCACCATTGATGAGCATGTAAGGAAGCTCTGTTTTTTTTTATTCCATCCATTTACCGACTGTCTTTTGTGATTCTCTTCCCATTCCAAGCATAATTATGGTTTGATGTGGTTTGGTCTCGTGTAGACCAAGCCGTTGCCCTCCCCTTCTGTTTAATAATTTAGTTCATCTGCTTAGATTAGTGGTTTTTGTCCACTGGTTTAATCTTGGTTGCAAATGTTGGTGCTGGATTTTTTGTCGATTGATTCATAGCAGCGGAAACGCAACGTGTGTTGTTGGGGACTGATTGAATTTGAAGCCAGTGGCTGCTCTGTGTCCCAATGGGCCCATGTTTGTCGACATCAGTGGGGCAACCATAATGGATTGGGCCGAATGGCAAATGCCGGTTGAGTCTTGATAAATGGTCGGTAGGGTTGGGCTCAGTCCAGTTACAGAAAATCACCTGTCCCCTGACTTTTCTCATCGTGAGAGTGAAGATTCCTTTTTTATTTATTTATTACCTTACCTTTGGTGAATATTCTCTTTTCTTTTCCCCTTAAACCACCAAATCCAAAGCTAGTCAATAAGTCATAAATAAATAGCAGTAAATAATTATAAAAAATAAGTGCAAAAATGCTTCGCCGACAAATGGATCAAACAATTGTAATATTGCTTGCTTGCCACTGTAACCTTTTGTCCTAACTAATGATATTTATCTACTTGTTAACACTACTCTAATAGATTGCAAAGTTGTTCAACTTTCATTTGGACGGAAACTTGTAACAACAATGCTAACCTTGGAATGTTTTCTATGAAACTTTGTTTGAGTTTAATAGACAACAGTACAACACTAATTCGACGAAAAAAAGTATAACATTGTTTGAGTTTAATAGACGATATTATGTTAAACATAGAAATACAGCATGCTGGCCATTTCATTGTTACATATTGAGTTGTCCCCAAAGTCTTAGTGATACAATTGTTTAAGAGTCAAAATAACTTGAAGTGACCTATTAGTCAATGGCTTCAAACTCCAGTGACCATTTGTAAAATTGACCCTAAGCTAAGCTTCAAGGCTAGTTGCAGACTTGCAGGCTTGCAGCATTCCCGTGTAGAGAGAGCAAAGCAAGCTCACTTCTTCGTTTCACTCTGCTCATCAGAAGTCCAAACTCGAAGAAAAAGGAAAGAAATTTACAACTGCAAAACCGCAACCGACAAACACTTCTCTCTCGCCACTGTCCTAAATCCTAAATCTCGCCCACTAATCAAAACTCTAATTACATCTACTTTTCCCTCCACAGTTAAACAAATCCCACTTGCTCCACCTGCTCCAAACTCCCCCAAATCTGAGTTCTTTCCACTCACTCACTCCCAAAGCTCCAATCTTTACACTCAAGCAGCAAAAAAGAAGGGGAGAGAGAGACACAACAAAGAGAGATGGGATCAGTGTCGCTGAAAATCGGCGACGGCACCGCCAGATTCAAGCGGGCAACGCTCTGCACATCGGCGGTAAACCTTCTCATGATCCTTTCAGTGCTCACTACAAATCTCTTCGCTCTCTACGCCTTCAATTACTCCCCCATCCACCTCCACGCCCACAATCTCAATCCCCACAAGAACATCTCCTTGATCTCCGAGCATGTCTCCTTAATCCTGCGAGAGATCGGTTCATCCCAGAAAAAGCTCGCCAAGATGGAGAAGGAGCTTCTAGGTTATGACACCATCGACATCTCAAGACCCAATATTGCTAGTGAGCTCAAATTGTATCTCCAGCATCACCAACTGCCTCTGGGGAAAGATTCAAGAACTGGGATCACAGAGATGGTGGCTTCTGTAGGCCATTCCTGCGAGAGATCGACCGATTTGCTGTCGCAGTACATGAACTACAAGGTTTCTGGTTCTTGCCCTGATGATTGGAGCCTTGCCCAGAAGTTGATTCTTCGTGGGTGTGAGCCTTTGCCGAGGAGAAGATGTTTTGCTAAAGGTGGGAGTAAGTTGGGGCTCCTGAAACCTTTTCCTTTGTCTCTTTGGAGTTCTGTTGTTGATAATAAGGTAGTTGGTAGCTGGAGTGGTTATGGTTGCAAAGGGTTTGATTGTTTGAGTAAGAAGAAGTTGAGTAGAGAATGTGTGAATTGCTTCGACTTGGGTGGGGCTGAGAATCAGAGGTATGTGAAGTCCAAAGGGAAGAATGATTTCTTGTTGGATGATGTTTTAGGGTTAGGCAGTGGTGGGATTAGGATTGGGTTCGACATCGGTGGTGGTTCGGGAACTTTTGCTGCTAGAATGGCTGAGAGGAATGTGACTGTGATTACAAACACGTTGAATGTCGATGCTCCATATAGCGAGTTCATTTCTTCAAGAGGGTTGTTCCCTCTGTACTTGAGTTTGGATCATAGGTTTCCATTTTACGACAATGTATTTGATCTGGTACATGCGTCGAGTGGATTGGATGTTGGTAGCAAGGTGGAGAAGCTCGAGTTCTTGATGTTTGACATCGATCGTGTGCTTAGACCAGGTGGGTTGTTTTGGTTGGATAACTTCTATTGTGCTAATGATGAGAAGAAAGGGGTTTTGACAAGATTGATCGAGAGGTTTGGGTATAAGAAGTTGAAATGGGTTGTGGGAGAGAAGGCTGATGCAGCAAGTGGGAGGTCTGAAGTTTATTTATCTGCAGTGCTTCAGAAGCCAGCAAGAGGCTGAAACTAGGAAAAGAGGTAAGCATGCTTGGTCTTTGTTCGAACTAGGGAAGCAAAGCTTGCATTGTTGAAATGCCCACATCAAAATTCTTTTGCCCCTTACCCAATTGCACATTTAGAGGTTTCTGACTTTCAAGCAGCAATGAAGAGCAAAAGAAGGCGATATATTTATGTTTCTGTTGTAAAATTTATCCGTCTTTTCCGTGTAACTTTTAGGGGGAACTCTTAGTTGTGGAAGATTAGTATGAACTCTTTAGGAGTACCGAGTATGGGGAAATTATAGTGTATTCATGAATTTTTGCCCAACTGTGATTACATTATGCTTATTATCAATAGAACCTGCCTACAGTTGTTGGAGTTTGGAACACATACTTGCAAATTCATTGACCTTTTTACTATTTCATCAAAGATTTCTATTTATATTCATTTTAACCATTACATCACAGTCAAAAGAACTGCAATTGACCTTTCCTGCCTCCATATCATGAGTTATGCATAACTGGAAATACGTAGCCTTTATATGGGGTTGTCGCCATGCCAGGGCCAGAGACTTGGTCATATGTGGGTCAACTATCTTCTCTAGTTTTTCTTCATTTTGTGGCCAATCTTCTAGATACTCATCAACTTCATCCAATTAGCTTACAAGTTACAACATACAACGAGGAAAGCCGCACCTTAACCAAGGTGATGGCCATGGTAAATCACTAAATCACAAGATCCCCAATTCCTACTCCTAAACCCTAGCTAGCTATATAGCTACTGCAGCTGATGCTGCTGATACAGTGAGTAATGGGGTGTACTGGATCCACTTCCTAACAGATTATGAAGTTCGATCAGTCGGCCCATTTGCATTCCTGTCGAGCACTGATTCATTGTATCCCTCTCTCATTCATTGTGATGTCAGCATTAACCTTGTGCGATGGTAGAGGAAGCAATGTTGATCCCCTGCTGCATATTCGTGCTGTTGAGTAGCTTCATCCCTTCCTCGCTCATCTGCTGAACTTCTTGAGGCGATAGAATCCTTATGCATCGTACACATCCCACGAATTCCCTTTTTCAAAATAAATAAACCAAACCACCCAAATCTCAGAATCCAATTTTCATGCAACAGAAAGAAAAGGGAAGGGAAAAAATATATGCAGAGTAGATTTTCTCTTACTCCCATGGATCATCGCCAATGAGCAGGACATCATTCTCGTAGTCCACGTAAACCAACTTCCATCCCGACTCCCTTGGATTAGTCAGCAACCCCCCAAGACCGAACATGCACTCGATCGCCGAGCATAGCTCCTCGTAGTTCTTGAAGCTCGAAACATCTATGGATCGACCAACTGACCCTGCCTTCTGAACCTGTTTTGGTAATCCATTAGAGAAGCACAATTCAGCATTCAATAGGGAATCAAGATATCAGATCTCTATAGTGGATATCCGATTTTGATCTTACAATCTGGGTGGAACCAATCTTAGAAAGCCCATGAACGCAACAGAAGTTTGTAACAAAAACAGTGTTTGGTCTTATCAAACATCCAAGAGTAGTGACTAGTGACCACTAGGTATCTGACACAATTCTTCATGATATAAAAATCTTCATGAATTTTCGATAGTTCAAGAATAATATTTCCAATGTTACATAGGTAGCATACCTTAGTATAAGTCCTCACGCGGGGAGCAACCTGCTGCCAGGAGTTAGTTTGCACGAGGCTATTGCCCTTATCAAACTCCACATTGCTAGAAGAAGTCCCACCAGAGCTATCAGGAAACTCCTGCTGCTGAGAGAAAGCTTGAGAATCCGCCAAACTTACTGAAGTGATCTGAGACTGAACATCCTGGCTCGAGCTGAAGTTGCCCACAAGGCAATCTGAAGAAGGGTTGTTGTGGAAATCCTGATCCTTCAAGGAACAGAAATCGTCTAGAATAGTACTCGAAGGGTCAATCATAACACCACCACCACCATGGCCATTATTGAGAGAGCTATAGATTCCACTTTGGCCATTGCTCTCATCAACCGAGTTGAAGCTGCAATGATCCTGTTGAGACATCGGTACGAACTGGGTCGATTGGTTTAGATACCTCAGGTTGTTCAGCTGGTGATGATCCCACACATCCTGGTTCACTATTGTTTCGGGAAAGAGTATGGGAGGAGATGGTTCTTGCATCCCGAACATTGACATTGTTCCAGGCTGTCTTTGGATTGATGCTGAGACATGCATTGGCATTGCTGGAGACTGCTGTGATGTCCATTCGTCCACTGTGTCCAGGAATGGAAGGACGTTTTGGTCAGGTTGAGGGAAATGTGGTTGCTGAAGAGGCTGAGCAACTGATGATGATGGCTCTTCAAGTGGCTGCTGCATAATGGACCAGTGACCATTCGGTAAATGTTCAGCAGTAGTCACCTGGGTCAACTCAGCTTCTGATTTCACCATCTTCTCTGGTGGGGTCGGTGCTTGATTTTTTTCAGGTTTCGTTGAAGGATTTAGCTTTCCAGGAACATTGTTGACTTTGAATGACGACGAAGAATTCCCAGTCTCACGTTGCTCTAGACACGACGGCTGTTGCTGTTGCTGCTGATAAAGGGGATGGTTTCCAGAGAACATAGCTGCTACATCTGAATGTTGGTTTATGATCCTAACATCTTCCACCGATGGTCCTTTGGCAGCACAGACTTCTTGGAAGGCAGGAGAAGAGCAGAGTCCAGGATAGTTTATAGCTGGTGGTTTCATTAACATCTTAAGCAGTCTATCAGAATCTGGAATTGTTGGTGGGTAAGGAAGACTTCCATTGCCACCATCAGGAAGCCAGATTAGGGGTCTTTTAATCATATTTCCCCATTCAGTTTCTCCTCCTAAATAAACACAAAGGTATATCGTCAAGATTCGAAGAAGAATATTAAGATAACCAGGGTGTTTCTTATAAAAGCTCTTTCTAATACCTAAGTAACCACCATGGATGGACCTCTTGAGACCTGAGGTTAAAGAAGGGAAAATGAAAAGGCTCTCGGGAGTTTCTACTTCCCATGGACTAACACGACTCGGTTTGTCAGAACATCCTGGCTCATCCCACTCCACCTGGAGGTTTCGCCATTTGGAACCAGGCCACCGCAAGGGATCCAAGTCGCTAACAGCCACTATTGACCCCATGTATCTGTTCAACAAGAAAGCAAAACCTTGTTCAACAAGCAAACTAACAAGATCATAGTTAGTAGCAGAACGGTTAGGAAAAGATCAAACGAGACCTTCGTTTGGCCGATTCCTCCGTCTCAAACATCATCCCAAACCTCATCCCAACAGAGACTTGAGTTCCGTACACAGCTTTCCTGTATTTGACCAAAGGAATGACAAACTCTGAAGGACATGCCCTGCCAACAACCAAAAAGTCAGTCCCTTTCATTCACGTGAGCAGCAAGGCACATTCACTAGACAAACAATGAATAAAGACTGAAATTTCGAAATTTAGTTACCTTGGATTGTAGAAGATGGTGAACGGACTCCTGTTTGCAGCAGCATGAGCTGCAGCAGCAAGGACACCAATGTGCATGCTATCTGCTGAGAGAACTGATGATGGCAGTGTCGTCTGCTGACGATTTGCTCGTCTCACTCCCACCATTAACTGTGACTTCTCATCCCTGAAAATTGTGTTCAATCCAGTGCCATTAAGTTTCCAGGTGAGACAACAATGAATGAAAACCCAACAACCATGAAATATGAAGCATCAGTTTACCTGATGAACAAGACTGAATCTCCTGCTTTCAGCCTCTTTGATCCGACGAAAAGGCTCCAGCCAGTCGTGAGGAGGTGTCGTTTTGGCTGTCCTCGGTAGATGTGGCGAAAAGTCCAGGCATTGTCATGCAAGTCTCGAACAAGAAGCTCCTGAGTTGGAGGTTGCATTGTGTAATCCTGAACCAAAAAGGAATCACCCTTTTTAGGTTTATTTCTCTCCTTCAAAAGGTAACTAAGAGATATTTTAGGTGGTGGACATTGGAAACTGACCAAATGAGGGAAGAGCTTCTCTGCAGCCCTCCTTGGTACTGAGAAGCCACCATGAGTGCTAGTATCACTTGCTGTCAGGGTTTTGCAGAAGAATTCGGTGGGATGTCTGCCGGCCTTCAATCCAAAGTCCGGAATAGGAAAGATATCTTTCTCCTACAAAGAGATGAATGAACACATCTATCAAAAATAGGCAAAAGATAGCATTTTCTTCAAGTTAAATGAAAAAGGAGCTTACTGAATTGACCGGTTGAAGGCTCATTTGTGCATATATTTCATCCGTTTCTTTGTCTGCCTAATTAATGATCACAAAAGATAAGTAGTATCAAAGAGAAGAACACTGCAGAGGGAAAGTAAGAACCAAATGGATGGGGTAAAAATGGCATACATGCTGGGTCACATTGTGAACTTGGCACAGCAACTGAGATGGAAGGTTTGGATAGTTGGGGATTTGAGAAGTAGCACTTCTCTTTGTAGAAACTGCAACCTACATCACAGAAGCCCCAAAAAGATCAATCAACCTCAACAGAGCTTAATAACTTGCTTATCAAGCAATCACGAGTTGAGCCTCGAATTCATGCATCGAAAAATTAATGAAATTCAGAAACTTAAAAGAAGAATTTCCATGTACCAAACAAGCAAAATATTGGTTTCCTTTTAAAAAAAATTAATGTCAACCACTTGAGTCGGTAAGACACAAGCTAAAATAAGATCTATAGTTTTATACTAGCAAATGGGAGAAGGTAGGAGCAAAATTAGCCGGGGAAAGAGCCATACACCAAAGAGCATGAAATGAGAGACACTTTGATTTGAGAGAGATGGCACTACCAACGACACAAAAGTCCAAACAAGATTGATGATAAATGCCAATAGAGATGTAAAGGAAACTGCTCTCGTAGTAATAATATGAGAAGCTTAGCTAAATAAGGTTGACATTGATACTTGACCATTTCACCCAAAACCAAAAAGAATTCCCCATCTCCTTATGAAAAAGACCTTGCCCTAGAAAACCAGCACCTCCACCAATCCAAATAAACGGCAAAACCGCAGGAAATGACCTTCAATGAAAATGTATGAAACTGAAAACTGAAGCATTTATGAGAGAGGGAGAAAGTAACCTGTTCGCTGTGGCCCTGAGGGAAGTAATAGACGAGGCTTCCAACATGAGGCAAGGAAACTAGTGGGCCAGCACAGGCGTACCAGAGCTCTGTGTTTATTATCGCCTTACGGTTCCCTGAAGCCAAACCCAAAAGAGCAACAACAGAAACAGAATAAATCCCAACAGTACAACAAGATACCAGCAACATAACCCAGAAAGCGTTAAGGATGTTTCCAGCTCGTGCAATGTTAAAGATCACAGTTTTTTTTTTTAAGATAAAAAGATCCGAACTTTATGACAACAGACCAGCAGAATGATCCTGGATTTCTTTCAGAAGCTTCATTTCTTCAATGAGAGTCGCCGGCGGTTGTGCTCCGGCACCGACCAATCCGCCGCCACCTCCGCTGCCCTTCCCCTTTTCTTCAACGGACGCCATTTCTGCGGTGGGCTCTGTTTTCTTCAGTTCCTCTGTTTTCCGCTTCGACACTTGCTCTGCTTTTGGGACTCAAAATGATTCCGGCAAAGGCAATAGCAACTCAAAAGAAACCAACTCCATTACCCCGTTCTTCTCCTTCTTCTTCAGCTCAAAGCAACCAAAAGCATTTGCCTTTCAATTGCTCTGCCTCTCCTCTCTTCTCCGCGAATAGCAAAGGAGGAAGGGGAAAATAACAGGACTGAACCTCAGTCCAAGCCTTCAAATCAAAAGAAATGAACAAAAGACTGCTCTGCTTCAGAAGCAGCAGGAGGTCGAGGGATGACAAGGGAAGCTCATGTTCACCCAAAAAAAGAAGGCTTCCAAGTGGTCACAAAAGAGAAACTTGTCTGTCTCTGTTTCTTCTTCAGCTGCTTAGACCAGAGGCATAGAAGAGACAGAGAAAGAGAGAGAAGTGGAGAAAGTGAAAGAGAGGGGTCCAATCCAATCTCAATCCCCTCGCAGACCCCCAATTCCGAAAGAGACCAACAAAAAAATCAATGGAAAACCCCTGCAAAAGGAGAGGAAAAAAGGGCTTCCTTTATGTTTTTACAACAAGGTGGGGCTATCTAATGCTCTCCAACTATTCGACAAAAGTCCCCAAAGAAAACCCACCCACCCACCACCTCCATGAGTTCCTACACAAGCACGCCGATCAAAGCAATGAATCTTCCTTCCTTCTTCATTCCTCTCCTCCTGCCCTCCTTCTTCCTCTCGGGCTCCTTTCAAAATCCAGCCTTTCTCTCTCTTTCTATCTCAAAAAGAGGTCGACCTTTCACTGAACCATGGTGAACCCCTCCTCCTCCTCTCTTTGTTTATGTTTCTGTTTGCTTTTTCAATAATAATAATAATATTCAGCTTGGGAAGAAGGGAAGTGGGAAAGAGTGTGCATGCTCTTATCCTGCGCTACACACAAACCACACACCTTTTCTGTATATGGCGATTCCGTTGCAGCTTTAAACTGTTTTCAGAGGCAGAAGGAGAGCGAGTACAAATTATTAAAATTTATTAAAGAAAGAAAATTGATGAATAGGGGGTAAAGAGGAAAAGAAAGAAGAAAAGGTTTGTGCTTTTTTCTTACTTTCTTTTGGGTTAATGGTTGATTAGTACTAGTATCAGCCAAGGTTGTTAATTATGTATTTAGGTAGCTAGGTACAGTCAGCACTCTTTGAAATGATTGGAGTTTTGAGAGTGCAGATGTTTGGAGCCACCTATGATTTCTACATAGTAAACTGTCTGTTTCACTTGAGTACTAAACACTTGTATCATAATTGCATAAATGGAAGACTGTGACTAAGAGATGGTAGAATGGTCAAAAATCAAAATGAGAGTTACTGCAGTCTTCTTCTATTTGTTGAATTACTATTTTTATATGTGATGTTATTAAAATTTGATGTAGAAACAATCTCAATAATTCAAGTAAGATAGCAAATTGGTGGTTCCACATTTGGTCGTACTAGTAGACATTTTGAAGAAGAGATCTCATAATTATCATTATAATCCATATGAAGTCCAATTTTCGATCTCCTCAACCAACTCAAATTAACAGGGGTTCTCACTTCGCATCACAATTCAAGCGCGACATGTTATTGAGAAGTAATTTTGTTATTTTTTTAATAATAACTTTATTCTATTTGGACTAACCTCGAATTTAATTTAGACCCGGCGCTGCTGGGTGGCAGCAGAAGTACTACTTGCTTCAAGGATTTGCATCATGGATGTGGTACCAAAAAACCAACCATCATGGATTTACACACAATCCATTGTTTGCTTTGTCAACAAATGTTTAGATAAATCTGTGGGCCCCACGGATTTGGATTTTTTTTTCTCCAAATTCATGGGCCCCACGATTTTATAAATCTCACCTCATACCTGAGATTTGGAGACAAGCTGAAAAACCATCAAATCCATGATAAAATAGCTCAACAAACAAAAGATTTCCTCAAATCCATAATGCCCAAAATCCCTAATAAATCCCAAAATTTTTAATTAGCAAATTCATGACAAAAGCCTCATTATAAAATTCTTGAAGCAAATGACCCCTAAATTGAAGACAGGAGAGCATGTAACATAACATAATAAGAGATGAGATTTGGAGGGCAGCTGCCAAATAAGACTACTGCAGCACGGAACCACAGTTAAAATAATAAGAAACATGTCGTGGTAAAACCGTAAAAGAACAAACAGACAGCAGTAAGAAAATGATGGTTCGTCAAAAAAATGATGAAAATGAAAATTAATATATTTAGAAATTCGAATAAAGAAAAGGAGGGGGAAAGTTGGATGAGGCGTAGGAAATGAAACGAGAGAAGAAAGAATAATGTGAAGGTGGCGTATTTTAGCACGTGGATTACGTGGAATTACAACCATAAGTGGTAACCATTTTTTTTTTTTTTAGTGGCTTTGCTGCTGCTTTATTATATTCTGGATTGTGAGGATTTTCTGTTTGTAATTTCTCAGCCTTGGTATTGTTTTGGTTCTGTCGCAAGTCTTCTTTCATGGTTTGGGTTATTTTGGCGGTGATTTCTGTTCATAAACGGGAATTCAGATCGAGGAAAGGAAATCAAAATGGCACTCTGTCTCTTTCTCTCTTTAGATCTCGATTGACTACACCCGTGATGGCCTTGGCTTGCTTTTAAACACCTCGGAAAATCCATAGTACGAACCCAGGCTCTCTTACTTCTTCGTACCAAAGGACAAAAGTAAAAGGGTGGTTTAATTTCTTTGATATATTCGAAAGTTGATAAAAGCTTGGCGTAATCGACATGTCTCAAAATGTAGTAACTCAAATTGTAAACTCATGTTATGGTTTGGTATTGTGACGAGACCGACAAGTATTGTGAAGAAACCAACAATCCAACAAAGCAATAAAGTAAATGAACAAGCTTTCTATTATTTCAGTGGCTTGTCAAATAAAAATATTCTAAGTAATACCAACATTTTTTCGAGAGGCAACCCTATGCCATCTTTTGACTTGCTCATTTGATAGCACGAAAAAACCTCTCTTTGTCTTGTGAATTGTTGTAATAGACTTTGTTATATTTTTCTAAAGTCATTTATATGAACGACATAAAAAAAAAACAATTGAATAACTTAATAGTTAATGCATCAACTCTCAACCATGCAGGGCAGTTAGGACAATATTATAGTTTTAAGTATATCTACTACACACATAGCTAACCATGTAGGTTTAGTTTTCCTTGATATTTGAACAGACTTAGCTAATTGGTCCCAACTACACTAACTACAATAAAACTGCCTCCTAACCACTCTACAACTTATGATAATACCATCAATTTGAAGTATGAAATTCTAAATGCAAATATTGTTAGCGAACTAAGTAACTAACCATTTGGTCACAATAACTCGAGTTTTTGGGAAAGGGATAGTTAAGCCTTTTAATCTCTTATATGCCCCCTTAAACGAAATCATATCTTTTTTTGGGGTTTTCGTATACGGTTTGCACAGGTTGAACGTATGATTCCTTGTGCTGACAAACCCATTTGGCTTTCAGTTTGTACAGATTGAACGTATCATTCATTTTTAATCTCTTACACGCCCCCTCAAACGAAAGTTGATGCCGAATTGTGGATTTTTACGGTTTGCACAGGTTGAACCCTTGTGCTGCCAAACCACGAGGCTTTAGTTTGCACAGGTTGGACATACCATCCCTTGTGCTAAACAAATGGCTGAAATATTGGGGGTCATCATGAGGATTCGAAACCATGACCTTTCGGTTCTAGGCTATGATACCATGTGACGAACAAACCACTTGGTACCAATAACTCGAGTTGTTGGGAAACGGTTAGTTACGCCTTTTAATCTCTTATAAATACTGAAATATACCCTCAATAATAACATGTCCACTACAAGTATAAAATATAGGAATTATGTATTATATTTTGCCTAACAGATAGTATATCATAATTAACTAAACATTTTTTAAATGACAGCTAATCGTATTTGAAGATTTCTTAGACTTATCATACCTTCGTACATTCACTAAATTAATACGAGTTATCAAAATTGGAACGTATACCTTTTTTTACAGATGATATAATGTCAAGAGTAAGTTGGTTAACTCACGTGAAGGTAAAAGATAAAAAGAAAGATAAATATGATAGGAAATAAGAGTTAGATGACCAGTTGTCGAGTAACATGAAGTCAAGGTATCATAAAATGCTATTTACCCTCCCAAATGTCTTTCGGTGCATTATTCTATCTTTTTCCCTTTTTGTTTCTTCTCGTTGAAAATTGAAACTAGTTTTTTTTTTTTTGCTTATTATTACAATTCTTTCTTTTGTTTTTTTGGCTGCGGTCTGAAATATTTGACCATCCATTCATCACGCGTGCGGCTCACGACAAGTTGGGCCCCACCGGTTCCTGACTCGGGTCGCCACTCTGCTGTTGGACCCGCCCACGCTGCCGTTTTGGGACTTCCCACTCAATTAAGTTTTCACCGACTTCTCCTCCTTAACATTAATCTGCTACGCACCAACTCACCCTACGCTTGATTTAAGCCCCCCAACCGTAACAAATCCACAACCGTTTGATTCCCATCAAACGATTGTTGATTGGCAGATAATGTACACGCTCTATGGTTTATAGGGTAGTTATCATAAATGGTCACAAACCTATTTACTTTGTACAAAACGGTCACAATCCTTTAATTTTGCACGTTTCGGTAATAAAGGTTTGAGTGAATAACAAAATAGTAAATCCGTCCAATTCCATTCCAAATTCCGTTATAGATTGCCCCGTCAGCATGACACGTCAGTGCAAATATTAATTAAAAAATGGTTAATCAACCCACTTAACCCGGCAATCCAACCGGCCGGAACAAACCCTTTACCCATCAACCCACTCAACTGCGGGCCTATTCGGCCATGGAAGATCGCGATTCATCTTCTCTGCGATTCTCCGCAACACCGCCGACCGGAAATTCTTAGCTCTCCCCCTCCGCTCTCTCCTCCTAAGAATGCGTGTCGTGCTCCAATGGGAGAAGTCGAAGTCGGAGTTTCAGCTCAGCTACGCAAAGTGATGGCGGCAGAATGAAGTCTCCGGCAACTGAGACTCACCTGTCGGACAACACCGCAACCATAGACGGTTCCCTCTACCGCGCTTCCTCGATTTCTTCCACCACCGCCGCCGTAGAAGAATGCGCTTGGGCCCTGCGGTTAGCGGATGAAAAGGTTGCGGAGGAGACCAAGGAACTTGCGGAGAATCGCAGAGAAGTTGGCCGAGTCGGTGGAAGCGGAGAACGCCGCGGTGAAGTCGGAGAAGGCGTCGGTGGAGTCGAAATTGAGGGAGCTAGGAGAAAGAGAAGAGGACTTCGAGTCGCTGGGGAGTTACATTGAGGAAAGAGCGATTGGAGTTCGGAAGGTTGAAGAAGAATTGGCAGGGAAGAGGAAAGAACTCGAGGTTCAAGAGAAGGAGATTGAACGGAAGAGGGAAGAGCTCGAGGAACGCTTGTACCGGTTCCAGAATCGGGCGAAGGGATTGGAGGTGGGCCGAATAGTCCCAGGTGGGGGCGATTCATCTTCCGTCGCCGAATAGTCCCGCAGTTGAACATAAAACACCATATCTCCCGCAGTTCAGCCGGCGAACGAATCAGTTGGAGGAGTGTCGGCGAGGAGGAGGATGGTGGACCAATCGGTTGGAGGAGGTCTGGTCGCCGACGGCAGAAGAATCGCCAGTCTCCTCTCCTCACGATTTCGTTCTGGCCGTTGGGGGTAATAGTCCAATTGGGGACCGGATGGGTGAAGGATTTGTTCCGACCGGTTGGATTGCCGGGTTAAGTGGGTTGATTAACCATTTTCTAATTAATATTTGCACTGATGTGTCATGCTGACGAGGCAATCTAGAACGGAATTTGGAACGGAATTGGACGGATTTACTATTTTGTTATTCACTCAAACCTTTATTACCGAAACGTGCAAAATTAAAGAATTATGACCGTTTTGTACAAAGTGAATAGGTTTGTAACCATTTATTGATAACTACCCATGGTTTATAGAATCTATAGGTCTTGTTTGAAACTTTCAATTCCAAATGTTGTGCTGAGTATAACTATATTCCGCAGAATATAACATTGTTCACTTGTTTTAATCATATAATCATGTATAGAGAATGCATGACGTATTCATAATACATAGAAAATTATGTACACTTAATCTCACTTTTTTACGAGATTTAATATTCATAGTTCATTTCATATTTAAAATCCATGCATTCTTTTATATTTTCTAAACAAAGTATTCTTAAAATCCACACATTTTTAGTATACGCATAAACTTAATACACTTTTGTCAATACACAATTTCCGGAATCAAAATTTTCAAATGACCCCTAAGAGATTTGTGTGAATCACATCATTGATATTTTTTTGTTGTTGACAATTCCGCTTTATTATAGGAGTTAATCTCGTGGGGTGAATTATGCTTTTTGATTGCTCATTTTGCACATAAATCATAACTAATTTCGATTGTGCTATGAAGTAATTTAAGTTAGCGCGACTATTTTTGTAAGTCAACTAGATGATAGTCTGATTTCATCCGTTTCTCGTAAATTGTAGGATGATATCTTTAATGCATTTATTATTGAATTACTTTATAGCAACAAAACATGTTCTTTAACCGATAGTCTAGTTACATACAGACTTCCACATGTGTTTGAAAATAAAAAGTCTTGTAATTCAATCTTTGTACTTGTACCACACTCCTTGGGGTTGCCTTAAGAAAATAATGCACACAATCACCGAACTTTGATGGTTACTTACTCGTTTTCTATTGTCTTCAAATAGACATGTCTTTTATTTCTGGTATACATATATATCCAAATTATCCATTATCCACAACTTAGTTAACACCAAAATGTCATTCAGGCTAGCATTTCATAATTTCAATAATAATTAGAAAGACAACGAAGGAAGGGAAATAACAGAGACGTGTACATCATCTCATTTCCTTAATGTAAATTGGCAAATTCTGTGGATTTTCCTAGGCGGATATGTAAATTTTGGTATGCTTTGTTTTCTCTATCATATGTTTTTTCACAGTAATTCGTCTGCACGACTAGATACATTTGTAGTAATTGTTTGTCTTCAATTGAAAATTAAACAGGTGGTTTGAAAGTTTGTGAAAATATATAAACCTTAACGAGTTAATCAACGTAATACTAATGTCGTACATATTTTTCTTGGAAACTCAAATTATTATTACTAATTGGTTATTCTTAGAGGAGAAAACTGAATTAAACACAAGATTTAGCACCTGCAAGTGTCAATCTTATTATAAACTATTATGTTATGACATGTAAGAAATCGTATAAAAATTAAAAACTACAAGAACTAGCTACAACGATAATTATTGAGTCGATTCGACTCATGTCCTCATGTTTACTACAGTAAGAGACATTTGCATATTGAATGCTTAATGTTATCCTACCTCCTACCACTTATATATGGAGGTTCTCCATCAGAACACACTTCATTCAAAATTTCCAGCGATCTGAGTAATTTTAGGAGAGATATTTTTGTCACTTAAATTAATAAAAGAATTACCGAGCATATTATTACTAATTAACTAACGTTAATGAATTTTAATGAATCTAAAAGGCCCCAAGTTCCCTAATTTTTCTAACCATTCCAATTCTTCCGTAAGAAAAGGTTCCTCAATTTTTTTGTTTCGTACATAACATGGGATAAGTAATAAAATCAATGTTTATATTTTTTTTTGACAAAAGATAATCATATATTGAATCAAAAGAAGATAGTTACATCCTGGATCGAAGCCAGGCCTGAAAATCAAACAAACGACAAGTAGTCGGAAACAAAGTAAGGGTCTTTCTAACCACCGAATGGGCTACCCTATCTCATTTAGTAACCACCAAAGGACTCGACGCCGGAGGATTCTTTATGGGATCAACTTGGGGCCTATCTTGCGGCTTCCTGGTACCCATCGCATTCTCCCATTCCTCACACTGCTGATGATACTGGCGCATCAAAGCCGGGAAACAAAACTGCTTGCCTTCAAAGACAACCTAGTTCCGAGACTTCCAAATCCTCCAGAGAATGGCAACCACCGACATAAAAACCGAGGGCTGCTGAATAATTTTTAACAGTCTCCTGAGGAATAGGGGAAAAGTATGGCGGGGTAATCCTTGCCCCATATGCTCCAGCACCAAGTAGTCCCACAGGGCCCGGGCCACCGGACAGTCAAAGAACAAATGCTCCATTGTTTCCATAGCCCCCCAACAAACCGGACAACGAGGGAGAATAGGGGCCAGTTTTTCAATAAGGGCTTCCGTGGTCGGGAGGATACGATGAAAGATCTGCCAGACAAACACCTTCAACTTTGGAGGGATGTTAGCCTCCCAAAGTCGAATCCAGCTAGCTCTATCCATCCAACTGGCCGACGACCGCCAAATGCCACTTCTTTTATCTAGATTAACAGCTAGATGATAGGCGGATTTAACAGTAAACGTCCCGTCCGCCGTACCATGCCAAATTAGTTTGTCCTCCACAGAGTGCCTTGGCAAAGGAATAACCTTAATGCATCGGCAAGTTGGGGGATCAAACCATTGGCTCAGCTTGGCATCAGACCAACCACCCCCATTCGGCTCCATAACCTCCTCTACTCGAGGGTCACCCCCCCCCCTCTTGAAGGACCAGTGGATTAGCCACTGGTAGTCAGGGTGAAGTTGGGGAATCCAATTCGACCCAAGAAGTGACGCTTTTCTCCCTTCCCTAATCTGCCATCGAAGGCCTTTCTCGAGCAAATCTCTCTCAAACAGCACACTTTGCCAGCCCCATGAAGGTCTAGATCGTGCAGTGGCTTGAAGAAAGCTCCCAGTCGGAAAGTACTTACCCTTATATACTTGCGCCAGCAGGGAGGTGGGTTCATTGAGGATGCGCCATCTGAAAATCAATGTTCACATTATCCACTTAAGATTATATATTTATGTAAGAATAGAATCAATGATATTTCCGTAAGAAAAGTTGATTTATATTATTGTTACTTTATTAACAGATTAGGTATATAACTCAAGATGCATAACTTATACAGGTTTTACTGTAAAAAACAAAAGGTGTATAACTTATCCTTTATTAGTTTTTAATTAATGATATTTCATTTTTTAAATTTTAATTTGCAGAACTTTAACATAAAAATTATATTAAATACATTATATAAAATAATATTCATTTTGATATATTTTGGAATAGAAACCTGTTAGTCTAATCATATATAATAGTATTCATGAACTATCAATTCTTCTACAATAGTACCCGATCTCTATAACAATTTTTTATCGTATCGCCACCATTGATTTTTCATTAGATTTTTATGAAAGTGTGCCTCACCTTTCTGACAATATTTCAACTAATCTCTTAATCTTCTTAAGGTCAACTTAGAATGATCATGCTACTTCTCACTTAATTCATGATTTACCGATTAAAAATAAACCACAATAGATAGAAGATGACATTCGTGGCAAGTTTAATTATTCTCATTGTCAATCACTAAACTTTCGTAAGCCATTTTTACAAATTGGGCAACCAAATATTTACATATACAAGGAAAAAAAGGATCTGTTGGAGAATAGGCAACGCTTACTGGTTATTCATTAATTTTTCAATTTACAGATTATCAAATTTTGTGTTGTTCGCATGGTTGTTTATCAGTGTTAGGAAAAAAAAACTCATGAATGAGGCGTTACCTACTACAACATCACATGTCTCGACCAAGATCCCAACATAGCAATTCCATTTTTCTTCTTCTAAATTTAGGAGTAAATGGGCGTAAACTTTTAATGTGTGGAATGTCCAGTGTTTCCGAACATTTTACCATTAAAGATTGGCTTCCAATGAAAAATTAAGCAGGAACAGCCTATTGTGAAGAAAAAAGTTACTTTAAGGAAGACAAAGGCATTGATAATTGGAGGAGATGATGGTGCTTTAGAAGGGGCAGGCAGAGCGATCAGAAAACATTCAAATTGAAATATTCAATAATTATTGACATCGAGTAGCAAATAGTGTGACCATCTTATTAAATTTTAGGAGTCAATTTTCTTGCATGATTTTTGTTTTTTACTTTGAGTAAGAACTTCAGTCAATAAATCAGGTTAGCATGCTGAAAATTATATGAGTATGATATTTTTTTTTATGTAAATCAAAATTCTCATTAAGCACCAGGATTCCCAAAAGCTTGGGATCCTCTCAAATTTACTAGTCTGTACAAATCAACTATCAACCTCTATATCTATGAAAGAAGCTCTCTATATGTGGTATACTCTGCGAATTAGCCGAACCTATACACTAGATTTCAAACTTCATACGAGACAGAATTTGATGAGGCGAACAAATAAAACCCTCTCCACACCAGCGGCGACACCGCTCCTTCCACACATGGCCAAGTGCCAATCTCCACAGCAAACGTCCTACTCGAACACGATCAGAATTGCCAGTCCAAAACCTTGATGCCCAGTTCATCGTAGAATCCCAGTTAGCAAGCGCAACAGGAGGAGCTTCAGGGAAAACAACCTGCAGTATAAAATGAAAAAACGAGCAACTTCCAAACAGGTGATCCCTATCTTCGAAACCTACTGGACATAACACACAACACCCAGGAAGAGACCTCCCCCATCTGATTAGTTTATCTGCAGTAGTTATCTTGTTTTGCACAATCATCCACGACAAGATACTATACTTTGGGATAAGAAACTTACCCCAAATCAAATCCGCCCAACCAACCCGGGGACGAGCTCCCCTGATGCTTCGCCAAACTGGGAGACCGAATAACGGTGCATAGGCGCGTCATCCCACATCAGAGAGCCAGCAGTA